CTGGATACGTGGTCAACCATGCAGGAATCCAGCACCTTAACCTCCATGCTACCTGCTGGCCCCCAAACATGTCAAATTTTTAAAAATACTAAAAAGGATACACTATGACTCGGTGTTCAATCAGAAAGGCTAAAAAGTGTAAATGAATAAAATCTCAATATAAGATAATAATATTATCTTAGGCTGTAGTCATAGAAACATGGTATTCAGGGACCAGCAGATGGCATAGCGGTTACATTGTAACTCCTATATGGCCAACTGCGGTTCAAATCCCAGACCTGATGGCTTCAAGAGCACGTGTGCGTGCATGCCCAAGATCCCAGGAGAAGAATGGAGAAGAAAGGATTAAAGTGTGATCAGCCCCCCAAGAGGTGATTTCTCGCTTTCTGTCTCTATGTCTCTTTCTGTCTCTCGGGTGAGCGCACATGCCCTATAGCAAAAATCTCTTAAAAAAAAAAAAGAGAGAGAGAGAGAGAGAGAGAAAGAAATATGGTACTCAGATAGAGCAGGTTAACAGCTTTAATTAACTACTGTACTATATCTAAAACACTAAAATCAGAATTTAATATGTCATTTAGATTTTTTTTTTATTGCCAGAGGGTGTGTGCGCTTGTGAGACAGAGAAAGAAACGAAGAAACCACTATCCACTTAGGTGTGGTCACACCACAATCCTTTTTCCGCTATTTCTTCATCCTGTCAGGATTTGGGACATGTACACAGAGTGTTTTTCATGCTGCCAAGGGCCAAGATTCGAACCACATTTGGCCATCAGGGATCCACTCCCTATACCTAGAGCTGAACTGCTACACTATGCAGCTGGCCCCATCATTTTAATGTTTAAAAACTGTGTCAGGTTGATCTTTCTGAAAAAGAAGCAAACAAGATGGAAAAGAGCTTTGAATCAGGTCAAATAAATGTATTCATTCATTCAACAAATATGTGCTAACTGCTTAGTACGTGCCAGATGTTGTTCTCGGGCAAGGAATCCAGCATCCGTCAAGCAGATAACGCTCCTGCGCTCACTGAGCTAACATGCTACTGGGGAAAGCGAGCTGGAGAACATGGCAAAGACACTAGACTGAATGTCGAGAATTAACCCAAGTTGACCATTCACCGGTCACATGACTATCTGCAATCCTTGTACTTTTAAATAGAGCTGAAAAAATAAACTCCTTCCAAGGTTAAAAAATACATGAAAATAGGGGCTGGCAGGTGGCGTGGTGGTTGAACCTCCTGAATTCCCATATGGCCAAGCATGGTTCTAGCTCTGGAACTGGCAGCTTGCTTTCTGGTTTTCCCTTTCTCTCTCTCTAGTCAAATTAAATAATAATAGCAAATGGAATTAAATAAACATTAAAAATTATATATATATATATATATGTATGTATTATATGAAAATACAAAGAATCCTTAGGAGTACAGGATAACATTCGAAGATCCACAGGACCACCTTGTGGAAAAGTCAGAGATGTTCTATAGCGCTCCACAACAAAGGATCCATGATGGCTAGAAGTGAGAGACATGATTCTATCTCAGCTTAAGATAAAAATTCCAAATAATCAGTTCTTTCCAGCAAGTATTTTTTTCTTTTTTAAAGATTGACCTTGCTGCTCTGCAGTAAGTTAATCGGAGTCCCACCATCATTTGAGGTCATGCAAATGAGGGAAAAGCCAGTGATCAAGTAATACAGTTGCTTTCAACGAGGGCTAGTTTTGTTTCTAAGGGGACATCTGCAAATATCTGCAAACATTTCTGATTTTCTTGAGTGGAAAGATGGCTAAAGGTAGAGGACAGAGATGCTACAAAACATCCCACAACACACAGAACAGCCTCTATAGCAAAAGTTATCCAGTCCAAAATATCAAGTGCCAAAAGTGAGGAACCCTGACATATTATCTCTAAACATTTATTATATATATTTGCCTGCATTTCCAGACCTTATGGTTACTTTTAGTGAGTTCTTCATTAATCATTTTCAAGCAAAAGCTCTAAGATCTTTACTTGGAATCTCTGTGAGCACTGGGCTTGGTGGCTAGTGGAATGTCAATACCTTCCTATCTGTTGTAGTCTGACTCATAACTCACCAGATTTATGAGGGATGAGCATCACCTTAAAGATCATCTAAGTTCTAATATGTTAATGAAAAACTATTTCACATTAAATTTGCTGATTATTTTCTCTGATGAAACTATCAGCCAGGGGGCTGCCCTTTAGCCATTATGTACAAATGTACACGCATAAAATTCCACACAGATATACAAATACACAATTAAAAACAGCTTAAGAATAATTTTGAAAATTAAATATATATTGGTATTTTCAGAGAATAATTACAAATAAAACTAAATTTTAATCACAATGTCCTTGGACCAAAATAGAAAATCCTGTCAATAATGGTTCTTACAAAAGAATGATCAGTATAATATGTACCTCTTAGATTCAGCTAATAACAAGGGCTAAGAAGCAAAGTAATTTCTAAATGTACAGCACACTCTTCAGAGTAGTCAAGTTTTGTCTTGTACAAAAGAATAATTTAGTTTCTTTTTTTTTTTTTTCAAATACTCATGCACAGAAAATTAAGTTACAGACAGCTGGTAAAATGGATATTGAAGTTAGGTAGGAAGTGACTATTAATCACCCATCAATTCCTATTATTAGAGGTCATTAACTTCTACCAGAAAATGTGTAAACACAAAACAAAAAGTCAAATGAAATTCTAACTTCCAGATAGACATTATCTGGACTGAATAAATAAGTCAATAAATGGTTTTTAAACAATTTATTTCAAGTAATTCTCTCATTTTTTTTTCTTTTTTACCAGAAAGTGTGCACTGGCGAGAGAGAGACAGAGACAGAGACAGAAATCACTCCCCAAAGGGAATGGTCACACTGCAACCCTTTACTCCTCCATGTCTCCTCCTTTTAGGATTCTGGGGACACACACAGGTGCCCAGTGTGTTTTTCAAGCTGCTGGGTCCGGGACCACAGTTGGCCATGTGAGTCCGGCTGCCTTAACCATCATGCCATGGGCTGGACCTTCCAACACTTTTTAGTCAAAAAACATTTAAGTAGTTATTATTTATGTTCACCTCCAATTACCTTATACCCCTACAGAAAATGTTTTCAATTTTAAACACAATTAAGTACTTGATAAAAAGTCAATTAAAAAATAACTTTGTATTTTAAAGTGTATTTAATAAAATATTATTGCCATTCTATTTGGCTATTAAATGTTAAGCTAAATAGTCCCAAAGCATATTATACGAAAAACTTCTCTATTTGAACATCTAGGATAAATAATATCCTCAGAAACAATTACTGACAACTGAATAAGAGTGGACCACAACAGCATAAAACCAAAATATTTGACTAAAAGAATTCAGAAAAAGAGAAGCATGCCAAGGAGGAAATTATTTAAATTATAAGTGTGAAATGGCTAATTTACCAGAGAAAACCAACAGGTGAAGACATGCTACATTTTCACTTGGAATGACATGGTATGACTATAATGTGGTAACTATACACAGAAAAGTCAAAGAAACAAAGGACTTTTCTGAGGTAGTTACAATGGGTCATACTTACAGCCACAGAAGCCCACTGCCATGCAAAACAGTGACTGGTTGGCATCTGATCATGTGAGCGACAGCAGCCAATAAGAATAGAAAATAAGCAAAAGACAAAGCACCACCAATCAATGTCAAGAGTTGCCATGTATAATACTCTTGCTATACATAAATATTAAGAAATGACTTATACAATTCTATCATTATCTGATTAAATTTATTCCATATGAGGGTTTTGTTTTTTTTTTCAGTTTTTTGTCAAAGAGTACATGCATTCACGGGAGAGAGACAGAGAGAAAGTGAGAAATCACCCCCTGGCAAAGGATAGCCACAATATAATCCCCTCTCCTCTCAGGATTTGGGACATGCACACACATGCATCCAGACTGATTTTCAAGCCACTGGTTCTGAAGCTTGAACCATGGGAGTCCAGCGCCTTAACTACCACGTCACCTAATGGCCCTCCTAATGACCCTCCGTATGAGTTTTGAAGTTTCATATTAAGGGTAATAATTGGTCAGAATTCCTAATTTGAAAACACCTAATTTGAAACAATTTAAACACAGTCAAACTTCAACGTCACAGTACCTATCAATTTTAAATGCTCAAGCATATTTGCTGAAATATAAAATATTTTTAATTATAAAATCTTAAAATTTCTAATTTCCTATGTGTAATATTCAGCATCCAGTGTGCTAAATGTGCATTAGCAGGAACATTCACGTTAACCCAGGCATCAGCTTCTCTTACACTTCCCCAAAAGGTGAGATGCTAATCAAAATATTTCAGTTTGTAAGAAAAAGCTAAAGGAAAAAGCAACTAAAAAAAGATTTAAAAAAGTGACATTCGGGGCCAGCAGGTGGCATAGTGGTTAAGGGCGATGGACTCCATGGGGGAGTTCGAGTCCAGAACCTAGTGGCTTGCTTTCTCACTTTCCCTCTCTCTTTTTGTCTCTTTCTCTCTCTCTCTCTCTCTCTGTCCCTCTCTGGTCAAATTTAAATAAATAAAGTTAATTTTTTTTTAAAAAGTGACATTCATTAATATTTGTTTTTATTTATTTTTCATTTATTTATTTGTTATTATTTATATATTTAATCATTATACATCATTTAGATTGTAAAGAGACTTTACACAGCATGATATATACGCCTCTGTCCAGCCCAGCTGAAAATACTATACATGTCCTCATCAACAAATTCATTAATATTTTAACAATGGTTCATGAAAAAATCTAAGAAGTTCAACTCACAGAAACAGTGGAATGTAAACACCATTAACTAGTATCCAACATTAGATTATACAACGTACCACAACACTTAAGGAAAGAAAGGATGAAGCTATTTGATCCTTAAAAATAATCAAGAAAAAGGAATGTAATAAAGACTCTAAAAACACAACAGAAAGAAGATGGAATTCAAAAATCACATTTATCTTACCGGTGCCATTCTTATTGCTGGGTGTGCTCCGCAACCCTGCACTGCTTTATGAAGTGTTTCACCAAACATATTTCGAAGCTCAACTGAATGACAATATACAGCATCAATCTTAGGCCACCAATCCAATGCAGACTGGAGAAAAACAAAGACCATAAAGAAGAAAAAGAATAAAATTATATGAATTGCATGCCCTGGTTATCAATGTAGTTTTATCCTTTTGTCAGAAACTTTCTAAGGCCATGCAAACACACATGATTTCCAAAGTCTTCAAATGATGTCTTTAATTCAAACATCAACCACTACATATTATATCTTAAAATATAATGAGCACAAGATAAATTGCCCCACTTCAGGAGCATGTGCATAAGAGATTGCCTTTTTTCACTGATAAACTAGTGAAATTTAAAAACAAAGTCTTTAGAAACTAATTCTGTAGACAAACTTTTTCTTTTTCAATTTAATATTTTCTATGTGCATACACAGAATGTATTTCCCCAAGTAAGAATGTCATCATCAAAGCTTTTAAAGAGATTAGTGGTTCAACACAATGCTGAAAGAATATATGGCAAACTGTAACTTATATGCTTACAAACAACAATGATAATTACAACATGAAATTAGTAAATGAGATAAAGCTATTAGTAAACCTATAATCTTAAATTGATATGCAATGATGACACAATATATGGAAGACTAATGACCACCATCAACAAAAACAAACTGATCCTAGCTAAATATTTTTTTGAAAAAACTATTTCATGTAAACATTTTCTATTTCATTTTAGTCTATTTAGTTTTAATGTCTAGTTTTTGGTCCCTATTTTGTTTGAAAAGTGTATCTTTAACTTTTACTTTAAAATGAATAGGTTATTTTTACTTTAAAATGAATATATTATTTTAAAAATGACAATTATGAAAAGCACTAAATCTATAAAGTTTATCAGTTAACACAAAAATGACTGGGTGAACTTTCACTCTATAAACCGAAATTGGAATGGCTTAAAACACAGACTTTCAAGTTATAATACTTCCGTTATAAGAAACAATTGGAAGAAAAACAATCAAATAGCAAATAAGGGTTAGCTTCATGTCCTATTCCCAGATTTCTTCTTATTTAAAACTAAGCTAGTTTGGGGCCAGCAGGTGGAATGGTAGTTAAGGCACTGGACTTCCACGCGGTCAACCGGAGTTCAAGTCCTAGATCTGGTGGCTTGAAACACACTAAGCACATGTACAAGTATGCAATCCTGAGAGGAAAATGGAGGAGAAGGGATTATAGTGTGGCCATCACCCCTGGAGGCAGTTTCTTGTTTTCTGTCTCTCCAGCAAGCGTGTGTGCCCTATAACAAAAATCTCTATCAAAAAAATAAATAAAATAAAATAAAACAAAACAAAGCTAAGCTAGCTCAAGTCTTGATATTTAATTTCTTCATTGATAATTTTCAGGATATTTTGAGCAGCAAGTTATATTACCTTAAGCAAAACTGTGGATTACAAAGTCTTAGAGAGCAAAATATAAAACTAATATACACATTGTGAACACTGAACTCCACTCAGAAAAGGATACTAAAACTGTAAGGGAAGAAATACTGTTTTGGTTATGTCATGAACTCCCTAAACTTTGGGCAATTTTATCACCAGTTTCGCTGAAAGCAGCCAATCCTACTTGATTTCCTTATGTTTACCACACTATGCAGCTTGAATTCATCAATTTGAGGTAGCAGAAACCTAAATTACCACAAAGTACATTGAGTGAAAAGTCCTCCTCACCCTACGGATGCTATAAAATCTTACTGGAAACTGATAAACTCAATTGCACTCTATAGAACATTCTACCCAAGTTACTGTGTCATTCTGTGATACCTGGTTAAACTGTACTGTGCTATCAGGTGTATCTTCTAAAATAACTTTTAGGCTTAACATTTAGTGATTTGCCTAATTTTCATTTTTCATAATACATTAGTTCAGTCATTTTAAAGTAAAAGATACACTTTTTAAAATAGAATAGACACTAAGAAATAAACATCACATAGTTGGTTAAAAACAATTTAATACTCTGGGCCAGCAGTTGGCATGGTGGTTAAGGCAGCTGGATCCCACATGGTTGACAGTGGGGTCTGAGTCCCAGACCCAGAGACTTAAAAAACAACCACATGTGTCCAAAATCCTGAAAGGAGAATGGAGGAGAAAGGACAACAGCATGGCTACCTCGTCCATGAGGTGCTTTCTCACTTTCTGCTCTCATTCTGTTTCTTTCCTGCATGCCCTCTAGCCAAATTAGAAAAACAAAAGAAAGAAAATGTAAAATTTTAACAATCTGAGCAGTTACTAAATGTGTCTTTCTAAAAGTAGTTAAAGTGGACTTATTTTTTCTCCTTTAAAGTATTAAGCTTTGGCCAGCCAGCAGAGTGGTAGTTAGGGTGGCTGGGTCCTGCATGGCCATAATTCAAAGCCCGAACCCAGTAGCTTAAAAAACATGCCAGGCACATATGTGCCCAAAACCCCAAAGGAGAATGGAGAAGGGCCTGTGGTGTGAGAGTGTCTCCCAACCCCCAAGTAAGCACATGAGCCCTATAGCAAATTAAAAAAAAAAAAGTACTAAGCCTATTGCCAAACAAATGATAATACTTACATATGTAAATTTTGTGGTAGCTCCTCAAATGCCTCGGAAATAATTCCTCCCACTATAACCTCTCAGTAGAATGAAGTCAACTCATTCTCAATACATGAATTCTCCATAAGTAAACTACAATAAACTGCCATAAGGAAAAACTAGAAATAAAGCATCATGCCAACAGACATGGCACGTACCAAAGACAATTAAAATAACTGGTTCACACATGTGTACATTATTTTTAAATTTTCCAATGACATATCTAATTTAACCAAAACGAAGCCTATAAAAATTAAGTTTATAACACAGGTGCTAAAACTCTAATTCCTCTCTTATGGCATGTCATAACCAAAGAGGTGACAAAAGAGGTGTCATTTTAGAAACTACTAAAAATAAGCATTATAATAGAATTCAAGTAATGAATAGACTAAAATTTTCTAAAAAGAAACAGTGGGCTACTTTCATCTAAACATAGTATTTATGAATTATGAGCATGTTTCACAAAAGCAAGCATTCCTCCAAGCACCATTATTGCTTTTACATAAATGCTCAAAAACACATCAGTAAACTTTTTATCATATTTGAGAAAGTGATAAAAATGTTTTTACATATGTGAACTGGATAAAGAACTATGAAACAGGAAAACTTATGAGGTGTATTGAACCAAGAATCATTTAAAAAGAAATCTTATGCTACAAATGAATTTAAAATCAGGAGTCCAAACATTTAAGAAAATTTTCATGTGATTTTAAGGATATAAAACAATCCCATAATAACTGACTTCAGTGATATTCTATAATAGTCAATTCCATAAACCTGTATAAGTACTTTGTAAAGAGCCCTCTTTAGTCAAGAAATAATTCAGATTCAGTATCTATCAGCCTCAAACCAAAAGGTAAAAACCGTGACAAAAACCCTTATAAGCAAGAATTTACCAAAAAATCTATAATAATAAAGTATCACTATCTTAGGTGTAACTTCAGAAGATACTTTGGACTAATGTTTATGTTCCTTTTCAAGCTATTTCATTAACAGGTTATTGATGCTTCATAATTAAAAATGTCAATATAGTTTTTTTCTTTATGAGAAAAGATTTTGTGTTGATTTGACCTCTGATACAGACACACTCCACCTTCACACATGCAGTACTCTACGCCAGAGTACAGGAGGGTGCACAACCACTTTCACCAGGCACACTGAGGCATGCATGAAGTACCACTCCAGGCATGCTTGAAACCCAGAAAGGAGCAGCTCAGCCACTTACAGCAGTGCCAAGTCCATGCTTGAAAGTGCTCTATATATTCAATTGTAGACAAAAATATTCACAATTAAAGTAGCTAGCCACACAGTATCAAAAAAGTATATACTTAGGTTTATTAAATATAAATTTTAAGCATTTATGTAAGAACTATCCACTCTAATAAAAAGGGAGTATTTTTAGTATTAGAAGCCAAAGGAAAATAATAATATACAATAATATCTTATTTCTATATTACACATAAACTTAAGGGGGAAAAATTCAACCTCTTATTTTTAAATGACCTTGATCATAAACCTCGAGAATACAATATCCTGGCTCATTACACTGGCAAAATACAGTATTTTAAAAAAAAAAAAAAAAACCTTTAATATAAACATACCTTATCTACAATCAAGATTGATTAGCTATTCCCTTTTGGAACAGAGTAGTCAATGTTACTTTTATCTATAACTTAACTCAGTGATACTCAGTTGTAAGGGTATGGCCCCCTGCCCCACCCCAGCATTTTCAGCTGATCATAACAATTGGAGATAAGGGAATACAGCATAACTGGCATTAAGTGAATGAGGACAAATGATGCTGAATGTTCTTTAATGCAAAAGGTAGTCCTACACAAAAAGAACTGTCCTTCCCAAACACTATTAACACTCACTGAAAAAAACTCCATGTGTCACTAAATAGCTTTGTCAAAAGTTATTTTTCTCATGTAGGAATGGATAAAATATGTGCAGCACTTGGTTTAATTAAACAAACCTAAGGCAAATAATGGTGGCGGTTAATTTTTAACTTATCAGAGACATAGTCTTAAAGTGAAATTTGAGTACAAACTGGACAAATACACTACCAACAATGAAAGACCTAGGGAACAGCAGGTGGCGTAGTGGTTACATTGCTGGAATCCCATATGGCTGACTGCGGTTTGAGTTCCAGACCCAGAGGCTTGAATATCATGCCAGGTGCGTGTGCACGCGTGCCCAAAATCCCAGAAGGAGCACGGAGGAGAAGAGACTGTGGCATGGCATGGCCATCTCCTTGCTGGGGTTTGATTTCTTACATTCCCTCATTGTCATTGTCTCTGTCTCTACCGAATGCACATGCCCAATGGCAAAAATCTAAAGAGAAAGAAGAAAGCCCTCTTGAATAGAGGAAAATAAGAAAAAGTTGATCAGTTTACATATAAGTGTATATATATTAATAGATAAAAGTGGAATTATGGAAGACAATACCTAAGAACCTTCAAAATTCAATTGCTCAAAATTAGAAGAACAGAATATTTAAAATCCATGGTGCAAATAAAGATTTCACAATCTTATACTTAATGAACTCACATCAGAACTGAAGGGTTCACAAGTACATTTTTAATGAAGTCTCTAAAATTGTCTGATAGGTTTTTATATCTTGTTTGAATCTCTTTATAAGTAATATTAAAATTTCATTGTTTGGGACCAGCAGTTAGTGTAATGGCTATGTCGCTGGACTCCCACGTAGTCGACCATGGTTCGAGTCCCAGACCCAGTGGCTTAAACTCACGCCAGGTGCGTGTGCGAGTGTGCCCAAGATCCCAAGAGGAGAATGGAGGAGAAGGGATTGCGGCGTGGCCACCCCCCAGGGGGGTGATTTCCTGCTTTCTGTCTCT